TAAATTGTACTTCTTGGAAAACCTGTCTTAGATACAAGATTGAATATAGCATATGACTGAATCATTGACATTCTTTGACTTAATTTATGTTCATATATAATATAATACATGGAATATAATTGTTGTCCATTAAATTACAGTAAGACTAAATAGGATGATACTATTATCTATCTATGTCCAAAAGACACATTGCATGACCCAGACAAATTAGTACCAGCAAGTTGCATTTCCTGCTCTAACGCAGACACACCTTTGAGGACAGTGAATGTGTGAATTGTACCTCTTGGAGGTACAATCCTGACCTGCAGGCTTGAACCTTAAACAGAGCACAGGACACTTTACCCAGAGGGAGAGCTTTCACTGTGCTACCCCCTGCCGAGGGACGGGCAACTGGTGTTTTCTGGTAGAGTTTAGGGAAGTAGCAGAGGGCAGGGGAATCAGATCCAGCAGGAGGTGAGTGTCTCCCACCTCCATCACACTCGTACACTCCTCTCCCCCGCCTCTTCATGTGTGTGTGTGGTGTGGTGTGTATGGCTTTTAAATAAATAAATCTTTTTTTTTAAATTTATTTGCTGTGCTAGAGATATCAACCCTGTGAAGAGAGGAAGCCCGTGCGACCGGGCTGGGAGAAGGCACAGTTTTCTCCCCTCTCATGCTGTCCCCAAACTTTCTCTTCTCATCTTAACTTCTGGGGTAGAAATGAAAGGATATAGAAGATACCTTCCCTTCTCTGGATGGGGTCAGACTGATTGCATCATCACCATGACTGGCCCCATGTACGTATATATATATGACTTGATTTTTGATGGATATGGCAGTATTCATATATATTATATGGATATATATGTATATGTATATATGTATGTGTGTATATATACATGTATTATACTATATACATGTATTATACATAGATAGATACTTTTTTTCTTTTTCTTTCATACATTGTGACTTAATTAGTTTACTTGCCCTTTGGGAAGGTGTTCCTACCGTTGGAAGTCCTAGTTCCCAATTATGGAAAATAAGCTTGTTTTTCTAATTTCCTGATTTTTGCCCAAAGGCTGGTTCTTTCTTTCTTTCTTTCTTTCTTTCTTTCTTTCTTTCTTTCTTTCTTTCTTTCTTTCTTTCTTTCTTTCTTTCTTTCTTTCTTTCTTTCTTTCTTTCTTTCTTCCTTCCTTCCTTCCTTCCTTCCTTCCTTCCTTCCTTCCTTTCTTTCTTTCTTTTTGATTTATTTGAAACTCAGATATACAGAGAGGAGGAGAGACAGAAAGATCTTCTGTCCGATGATTCATTCCAAAGTGGCCTCAACTGCTGATGCTGCACCATTCTGAAGCCAGGAGCCAGGAATTTCTTCTGGGTCTTCCATGCAGATGCAGGGTCCCAAGGCTTTGGGCCATCCTCGACTGCTTTCCCAGGCCACAAGCGGGGAGCTGGATGGGAAGTAAGGCCACTGGGACACAGATGGCACCCATATGGGTTCCTTGTGCATGCAAGGTAAGGACTTTTGCCACTAGGCTATGGTGCCAGATCCATGTTTCATTTCTATCAAAGAGCTTTTTTACAGGGCCTGGGCTGTGAGTAGTCCTTAGGACGACCCCAAGAAGGAGGTAGCCTCAGTTGTAACTGCTGTTTTCTCAAAATCCGCCCACAAGAGGGAAAACGGGACCTTGTTTCTGGGATGGCTGAAAACGTCTGGTTACATGCTAGGGAGCTGAGCTCTTTGCTTTAAAACTGTGATTGTCAAAACAGGTTGATGAAAGTATGCAATTTTAGCAAGACATAATGACAAAAAAGTTTTCTTATTCTTGAGACAACTTGGGAAGGATTACTCTTTAAGAAACATATGCCAATTTGTTAGATAAGGTAGAAGATCTTCATTTTAGCTCAAGCTGATGACTGAAGATGGCCAGGCGTTCGTCCTAAGGAATCTTCAAGTTTAAATGAATGTGATTGTTAGGGAGATTACAGTTACCCTTGATCATAGGATAGGTAACCATTTCCCAAATCCACAATAAAAAACTGACCAGTAACATATAGTAGGGAATTTGAATGTGAGGCAAGTAAAGAAATGGTCTGTTGTTTAAGATTTAAAATAAAATAGCTTAAAATCATAGCAAGAATAAAAAGGTGTTTTGTTTGTTTGTTTGTTTGCTTTTGGCTGAAGGTGCACATTTTTAAACTGTTCCATGGAAAGTCCTAAGTCTACATTTGGATTGGGTTACTCTGAAGCAATGAACTGCTTGATCATGGTGGGTAGTGCAAATTTAAAGCAAAGATAACCACACGTTCCTCTTTGAAAGTCTTCACAGAAGCATCACAACAACTAGCTCAGATCCTGGACTTCAGTGCAAAACTGTGGCATTTTAAGGAAACTACAAAGAAATATTGAGGAGCTGGAGCTAGGTCAACGAGTGTTAGATTTGACAAGCAAAAGCTTGGTGCAACACATGTACGCACGTGTGTGTGTGAGCACATGTGTGAAGTTCCGGTGGAAACCTCAGCAAATTTAAAAGCAATTGTTTTTGCAAAACACCCATTTCAGATTAAAAGATACACTGCAGAATACAAGTAATGTTTTCAAATTATGTATCGAACACAGAACTTGTATTTGAATATGAAAACAACTATCAAAACTCAGTAGTCGGCACCAGTGTGAGGGTGCAGCCGCCACTTGCATTTCCGGCATTCTGTATGAGCACCTGCTGGAAACCTCGAGTCTCCCCTTCCATTCCAGCTCTGGCTAAAGTGCCTGGGAAAGCAGCAGTTGATGATCCAAATACTTGGGCCCCTGCCAACCATGAGGGAGAGTAGCATGGAGTTCAAGGTTCTTGGCTTCAGCCCGGCCCAGCTTTGTCCACCAGAACCATTTGGGGAGAGAAAAAGCAGACGGTAGGTCTCTTTCTTCCCCTCCCTTTCACGCTGTCTGCCTGTAAATCTTTTTAAAGCAGATAGCAGAAAAAGCCAAACGATCAACTGGAGAATGGGCCACAGTTTCAGGTATTTTACCAGAGAATATATAGCTGGGAAATATGCATGTGCAAATATGATCAAAACTACTAGTCATAAGGGAAATTCAAACAAAATCTGCAACGAGTGGAGTGACCTTTGTTCCTTCTGTTGTGGTCATCTCTCATTCTGAAGATCTGTTCAGTTAATGATTTAAGTTTTAGTCAGAGTCAGTCTTGGCTTTTGTAGCCATCAGTAGCATGGTTAGAAGAAATTGATTTCTTAACTTGGGTGTTTAATTCTCTGCACATTGTATCAAATATATCAGAAAAATTTCATTATGAGGCATATTCAAACGTATTCAATTGCACTGTGGTTTTTTTCCCCCAGAGTTCTAGTCCTCTTAAGGTTTCACCTGCTAAGGTTCTTGTGTATTGCAGAGTAAAACATAATTCATTACACCTGTCACCCGGGTTCAACTCTCACTTAAGTGGTAGCAGCTTAGCTTCAAAGGCCACTCTAAGAATGATGAAACAATAATGGAGGTCTCTCAAAAATAGAGATCAAAATAGAAATGACAGATGATGTGGCAACCTTGCTTCTGGGTTATATCCAAAGAAAATGAAATCAGTGGGCCTGGTGCAGTAGCCTAGTGGCTAAAGTCTTCTTGAATGCACCAGGATCCCATATGGGTGCTGGTTCTAATCCAGGCAACCCCATTTCCCATCCAGCTCCCTGCTTGTGGCCTGGGAAAACAGTCTAGGCCAGCCGAAAGCCTTGGGACCCTGCATCCTCATGGGAGACCTAGAAGAAGCTCCTGGCTTCGGATAGGTGCAGCTCCAGCCACTGGGGAGTGAATCATCGGATGGAAGATCTTCCTCTCTGTGTCTCCTCATCTCCGTATATCTGACTTTGCAATAAAAATAAATAAATCTTTAAAAAGGGAAATCAGTATCTTGAAGAGATATCTTAAGTGCCTTGTCCATTGCAACGCTATTTACAATAGTCAAGCTGTGGAATTAGCCAGTTTGTTGATGGATAAATGTGTGGTTTGCATGTACGTATTGGAATACCAAGAAAATCAAGAAGGAAATTCCATCATTTGTGATAACATGGAAGAATGTGAATATTGTGCTAAGTGGAATAGGTTATAGGTGGGAAACCAGTTTCATGATCTCATTAATACGTGAATTCTCAAAGAGCTGAATTGATACGTACTTGTCAGGTGTTGGGGGAGAGAAAGGAATGGGGAGATTTATGCCAAGGGGTATAAATAAACTTCGAGCTGTAAGATAAGTGAGTTCTGGAGACCTAGTGTGGGTCATGACAATTACAGTTGATAACATGTTGTTGGCTTGGACTGTTCTATGAGAAGAGATCTTCAGTGTTCTCGCTGTGGGAAAGGGGTAACCGTGTGGTGAGATGAATGTTAACCAGCTTGATTGTGGCAACCAAGTCACAGTGTAAACGCATAGAAAGCATCGCATTCTGCATTAGGCGTATCATATTTGTCAGCTATAGCTTCATCAGGCTGGTAAAAATAACTCCATGGGAAATTAATCCAGCCATTTGTTTACTTATATTATACAGGAAAATCATAGAATAAATATTATTTCTGGAGCTTAAGAGTTCACTAGGATCGTATAATTAAATAATTCTTTATATATGAAATAGATTATAATTATATGTCCTCATACAAAATTTCATTGTTTGCACATTCCATCCAAAAAAAACTTGTCTAAAATTTTAAAAAGTACATTTATATTGTCAGCTAGCACTTTAAGTTTAATTTTAAAAAGTACAAAGAAAGCCTTTGCAGCCACTATGTTAAACCTCAAACATAATATACTAACAAAATACGAAGAATGCCTTAAAATTTTCTCTTAACAGGTGGCATGAAATGGGTATTGTGAGATTACATTTGTGGCCACCAGGTGGCAGCAGCGCCCTTTCCTTCTTCCAGGAGTCCTTCAATGGTGGTGGAAAGCTTGAAAGCCACTAGAGGACTAGGCAGGCATTGGATTGGCTGAGCCAGCCACAAAGCACAAGTACTAAGACACAGAAGCAGAGAAGGTTTGGATCGTTGCAAGTTCATCTCAAGTCTGCAGTGTCAGGATGGAGCAAGTGCTGGGATATGTAGTCATAGGCCTGTGGCTTCAGCTTGGCTGTAAGTAGGAGGTAAAGAAATGAGAACCATGAACCATGACACATGTTCATCAAAGTTAGAGAAGAGAGATAGGAATTTGGCATCATCCTATGTTGGATTCCTTATCTGCTCATCTAAAGTCTCCATACCATTTCTGTTCCTATTTTCACCAACAGGCTTGCATGGAGAAGACCAGGTGGAGCAGAAGCCTCAGACCCTGGAGCTCCAGGCAGGACACAGCGGCAGTTTCACCTGCAGCTACAAAGTCAGCAGGTTTGGAGCACTGTCGTGGTACAGGCAAGCTCCTGGGAAAGGTCCCAAGCTCCTCTTCATCCTGTATTCAAAAGGGGATGAGAAGCACAATGGTGGACTAAGAGCTACACTATCCAGCGATGCAAGCTTTGTGTACATCGCAGCCTCTACACCCGAAGACGCGGCCACCTACTTCTGTGCAGTGGATGCACAGTGCTCCGCAGACACCTGCAGCTCGTTTCAAAACCCTGCAGCTGGGGCTCCTGAGAAGGGACACAGTCATCTCTGAGTGTGTGGCCAGCACCCAGAAGCTCTTTCCCAGCAGCCCTGGGACCCAACCAGAGGGCAGAAGTAGTTGTTCCTCCTGCCCAGGTTCCCAGTCCCCCTCGTGTGTTCATGGGTCACTCTGATCTTGGTAACTGCCCACAGCTCTCTCACACAAAGGGACAGCTGTGACGTGGAGAGGCCTGGTGGGTCACATGGAAGGAAACTGCACAGTTGCATACTCCATGAAAAAAGTTGTGTGTGGTTTCTCATTATGATCTGTCCACACGGCTGCCAGTGACACTGTCCATTTTAAATCATCTTCACGAAGGCTACGTCACCTTCACCAGCCACTTCACTATGCTTACCTTCTCTGTCACGACTAAATTACTGGAAAGAATGATCATATCCACCCTATTCCTTTCCTGACTTCTCACTCTATACCGCTACTTGAATCTGACCTCTGTTGCTCCACCTCAAGAGACACTTTCATTTAAGCAAAAGTGGCTTTGGTTTTGATCATGCCAGTGAAGACAGCAGGCCAAAGTTGCCCTGCCAGCTCTTCACCTAGGAGAGGCCATAGGCTGTGGAGGGCACTCCTGGTGGCAGCTGGCGGGAAGGGAGACCCCAGCTCTCAGGAGACCCACAGGTGCCCTGGGTGCTCCCTCTCAGGGGTCACCAGGGACCTGCAACACCAAGGTTACACACAGATAGGAAAGAATGTTTCCTCTTTGATCTTTCTGTTCCATTCTCTACCCAAACAAATTTCCATTCTATACCCAAATAAAAGAAAAGGTGGGTGGAATCTTGCCAAAGCCAGCAGAGGTGAGGATTGGATTTTGCCTGGCCTGCACAGAGATCTAATAATTTATGTAAATGTGTTTAATAACTGAAAGTGGTCCAGCAATTTTGCTGTTTTCCCTCCCAGACATCTATAAAGAGATAAAATGCAGCCTGTGTCCAAAGAAGATATTTATTCTTTATACAAGGTAAACGTGTACTATATCTAAGCTATAGTTGAGCCAGATTCTTCCATTTGCCTCTGGTGCTGAAACTCTTGAAATAGAATAGTAGGACTAACTACTTTGTTGTCTTTTTCTGGCTGTACCTCTTTTCTTGGAAGCGATGACCAGAGAGTCACATAACTGTTTGATTGAAGTAAAAGCCGAAATGGAAAAATAAAATAAAAAGCAAAAACTCTGTTCATGGTGCCAGGGTGACCTTGCCACATGTGGTGATCTTTCTGAAGCCACAAATGACCAGGATTGGTTAAAGCTTTTCTGGAACATCATGAGTACCCTGAGGCTGTTCTCCATATTTATAAAGTAAATTGACAAAAGCAAGTTGGCAGACTGGTCTGGGATCTGAAAGTATCAAGGCAGTTAGTCACAAGAGGGAACTTTGTGCCTGTCAATAAAATCTCTGTTGGGTTAGGGAGTGTTTGGCTCGCAGGCAGTCCTGAAGTTGTGCAGAAACTGTGACAAATGATAGGCCGTATTTCCTTTGTTCTAAACTGAGCAGTCTGTGCACAGCTTCCAACATTTAATAACTTCCTGGCCTTGTCCTAATCCATCATGACATGTTTTGCTTCACTCAAAATGGGGTGAAACAGGAAGAGGGACGCAGGAAGTCTCTGGGCAGCTTTCAAGATCAGTTGATCTTTTTTGGTCTCTTCTTAGAATGGTGGAGAAAAGCAGATTTTGTTATGGGGAGGGAAGTGGAGCAGCCAGGACACACACTGCTTGCCCATATGGGATCCTGACGATTGAAGGAGGATTAGCCGATTGAGTCATGGCACTGGGCCCTCCCTGCTTTCTTTTCAGAACAGCCTCCTCTCCTTTCTCTTCTACACATGTCAGGACTTGTGTGTACCACCACTTGGCGCACATGGAGGACGGAGAAGGTGGATTAGAAATCAGGCTTGCAGACAGTAAGGATAAGCTCCACCCCAGAGCTCTTCTTCCTTTATACCCAGACTTCTCAACCCTATATGCCCTCCTGGAGACACCTAACATCTAGAGTCATTTTAGGAGAACAGAAACTAATCAAGGGTTTGTGGAACTTGGGCTTGAGATCAACTCTTACATGCCGATCACTTCGACAATCGTTGCCTGTGCCTGAACCTCTAGGACTCTACCCTCTCATCACCACACAACGCTGGGCGCACTTTCCCTAAACACAAAAAAACGTTACAGGGATTATTGGGGATCAAATCAGGGTGCCACTGAGCTGGAAGTGAAGGCTGTTTCTTTGTTAATCCTCTTTTCATGGACATGACCAAGCCAGAGGTGGATTATGAGCTAAGGAACTGCTGTAGCATTAGTGGCTCAAGTAGGGATTGCCTGTAAGTGAGGGGCTGGGCTGGGGAAAACTCGGCTGATGGATCTAACCATGGTGCCTCTTTCAGCCCAGGTTCAGTCACAGAGGTGAGCTATAGGCACTGGGTTCTTGCATGTACTTGAACTCTGAGATTGATAATAGAGGCAACTGTGCTCCTGACCCTAGGCAATGGTGTCTGAGTCCAAGTTTGCCCTTTACTATTGGTTTGGGTCCAGCTTTGGGAACATGATTTTGACTTGATGACTTTTGGGAAGTCCCTCTCTCCCAGAGTCATGTTCTGAGGTGCTTGGGGTTCAAATTTAAACATATGAGTTTGAGTGGGACACGTTCAGCCCTTGACCTTCAGTGAAAGGACTTGAAAGTGTTCACCCCTGTAGAGAGATCCCCATGTCATTGAATCCAAGATCAATGGAGTCTCCTCTCTTGACTGTAGGAGAGTCCAGATAACTCCAGGCACCTTGGGCTATTTCTATAGAATGAAAATGAGAAAACACAGCTGAGAAATGTACAACAGGTACAATTCCCAAACCTCAAGAATCAACCTTGATTTGTGTATCTGGTACTCTCCCCTAGCCCTTGTGGAGGGATAATGTACAATAAGACCTCTCAGCCCAACACCATGCACAGTGCTGAAAGATATGAAGTGAACACGCCTGGGCCCCATTTCAGCACTGGAGATGAATGTGCAGCCTTGTATTGCAGCAAGGGCCTGCAGTGTTTGATTTAAAGTTTAAGGAACAGCATGAACCCTCATCTGGCTTCCTGCCCATCCCTGTGGATGGACAGTGCGATTCCAGGGTCTGCACAGAATCTCTCTGAAGGATGCTAGGGGAGGTGTGCATGGAGTAGATTGGGCCACATCATCTCCTTTGTGGGAGGGGACACAGCCTCCTTAAAGAGGCATCGCACACAGCCCGAAGGCTCAGCGGAAAAAGAGGAAGATCTAGGAAGAAAGGGAAAATAAGGGGAAAGTACATGAAATTAAGAAGTAGGCCAGAAAGAAAGCATAAGGGAAAAGAAAAGCCTAAATATTGTTCTTTTACCAATTCAATGTTTCATTCTTGCTAAATGTGCCCTTCATTGAATAAACTTTGATCCCCTGAAAAATATCTGGGTCCTCTTTGTTTTTTTTCAATTATACCGTATGCATTTGAGAAACAAGTGAAATCTCGAAAATTTACTCAAGACACACAGTTATCTTGTATTTCCTCATTTTTTTCCTTGTTTTTTTATGTGACCATTAAATATGCTATTCTATTTTTGTTATTAATCAAATTATAAATAAAAATTTCATTGTTTAAATGAAGGATAAAAGTGATAGTTCCTTGGTTGTTCCCTTATAAGCTTTCAATTACTATTAAAGCTTCATGATCACATTTTTATTGTCAATATAAAAATCACAGTAAGCATGTTTTTGAAAATATAAATGCAGTTATACTGCATGTAAATGTTGTGATTTAAGTCAGAGAAATCTTTGCAATTCATAAAATTTAATTTTTCTTATTCTTTGTTGCAACATTTTATTATAGGTGAATCTTAATATTGCAATTGTTTCTATTGAAGGATATTTAATTTTTTTCAACTTGTTTGCTACCAGATACATTGTATAATTTTATATATGACTGTATAAGAATATTTTAAAAGAAAAAATTTCCAGCTACTAAAACTTATGAGTCCACGACATATAAAAAGAAATCCTATAAATTTTACTAATTTATATCTTAACAGGATATGAAGTGCCTGTGTCCTGATATCATAAAAATGCTAAATATTGATATTGTCATTCTTAACTATTTTTTGCAACTTGGTGACTAAGAACTGACAGAACTAAGAACTAAGAACTTTTTCTTCGAAAAAGAGACCAAGTTGTATTATAAGGTTTTCTTGGAGTTTCTGTGCAAATGAAAACATGGAATTTAAATCTGTTTTCCAGCATTGCTAGCCACTATCCAATCCTCTTCTCTGTGATTCTCTGCCTGGATAGCGGTGAGCAGCAAGCAGAAGGTGCAGCAGAGTCCTGGCTGACTCTCAAAGAGGGAGGCAGCTTCCTGCAGGCTATTCAACATCGTCTAACATTCCAGTTCAATTTATTTGTAAGGTTTTGGATGTACCACCTTGTAAGCTTCCTTTTGCTCTACTTATTTTATTTTATATGGGAAACATGGTATCCTGATGATATCATGTCACCAACTTGAATGAGATGTAAAAATTTTCACTTTACAGCCATCTGTCCTCCTCTACTTATAGCACAGTTTTGTGTTTTCCCCAATATATGTTTATAATTTTGTCAAGTTTTATTCATCAAACATAATTTAGGAAACTCAAGGGGAGAAAAAAGCCTAGTGCAGTTCTCATACTGTGTTCTATCTTCTTTCCTGGTGTGTCTGCCACTTTGTTCATCTTCAGATATTCCTCTAGGATGGGCATGCTGGGACAGCTTTCCTCAGTTTTCATTGAACTGAGAATGTCTTGATGCTGTCTTCAAACCCAAAGGCTAATTTAATATTTATGTGATTCTGATTTGGTAGTTCTCTTTCAGCTCTAGAAAACTACCACGTGACTTCCCTGGGAACTCCTTGGTCTCTGGCAGTAATTCACCACCATTGGGATTGTTTCCTTACTCAGTATCATTTTCCGTGTTAACTTTTCCAAGACTTTTTCTGTAAGTTTTCATATTTTGTTATGTTGTGACTTGTGAGTTTCAGCTCTCAACTTTTTGAATCTGTAGCTTCATGGCTGTTTACAAATTTGAGAGTTTCCAGAAACTATTTCCTGCAATATTTTCAGTCCTTTTTTTTTCTTCTTCTTCTTCTTCTTTACAGGCTTCTGATAATGTCCATTTTTCTGCCTTAGGCTATATTTTATCGATCATTCCCGCTGTTAGCATTCCTATTACCGTAGCCATTTTCTGATCAATTTGAATTCTGTTCCTGGGAAGTTTCATGTACTCAAGTGATTTCCATTATCATTCAAGCAACCCAAGTGGAAGAGAGTTGGTAAGATTGAACTAAGTATTAGAGA